CATCAACAGCAGCATGGTTTATTTAAGAACAAAGACGACAACTTCCTATTCTTGGAGTAAATTTTAGTCATTTTATTTGCAAAGTGTATTAATGTGCCACCTCTAGGAGGTCTTGCACAAGTGCTTTATGATGCTACCATATTATTTGCTCTCGCTGCATGGCTTCTCGCGATTGGACTGACATGAATACACCCTCTAAAGGGCAGGGATGCGCACTACCAGTGGTCTGCTCCTATCAAGTGGGCAAGGCGAGGGCCCAGACACCCAGGAAAATAACAGAAAGCATGCAGCAAAGAGAGCAAAGTAATGGTAGCATTCAAAGCACTTGTGCAAGACCTCCTAGAGGTGGCACATTAATACACTTGCAATAAAATGACTAAAGTACTCCAAGAATAGGAAGTTGTCGTCTTTGTTCTTAAATAAACCATGCTGCTGTTGATGTTGCTGGTTGTTTGTGAATCGCTCTCGGGTTGTTTTGGTGGGGGTAGGGGGCATTCTGTTGTTCTTTCAGACTCTTTCTCCGTGAACACCCCCGTCTTTATTGGACAAGCACAGAAATTGAACGGAAGACTGGTTCTCTAAATCAGGCAGGAAATCTTTGCAGCCTATTTTTCCTCCTTTCCCCATTTCCACTGAGGCAGATGGTAGATTCCAGGCACTTGGCATACAGAGGTCTTGTAACTAAGGAATGTGATCTGACCAAGGGAGGAGTTCTAAAATGCTTAAAACTAGACCAGTGGGGGAAAACACTTAGCGGTTTTGGGTAAGTAAATGCCTAAGTTCAACATCTTGCAGCTGAAGAAGCTGTTTGTTCTTCCCAGAACTTGAGCCGTGGCAATTTTACCAGGCGAAAAATCCAGACACAGGAGGAGGACAGAATTAGTACAAGTGTGTACGTCTGTGTACTTAAACCAAAGATTAACACTTGTTGTCTTGCCTAGCATTGCCTATGTTAGAAACTTGCATGCCCCTTTGATATGCTTGGCCATCCATCTCCTGTTAGTGCTAGCGCTCTCATCTCTTTCCAGTTAACAACATGCAGGGCTGGGCTGAGGGGGGGTGATATGGGGGCAACTGTTTTCAGTGTCTTGTTTCAGAGGCTTCAATCTCATAATGCCTAGACCCTAACGCACCATTTGTGAAGCTGCTCAGGATGATATCTCTCCTGTTGCCACATTCTCTGTGCGCATGTGAAGGCCTTTGCAGTGAGTTGACTGACGCTCTTGTACACTTTAACAGCTGTTCTGACTTGATCACCTTGGGGTGGCGGGAGGGGCTCACATTGTCCCAGCTCTTCTTTTTTGCAGACTTCACAGAGAAGCGTGTCTGAAGCAGATCTGTTCAGTTGGCAAGTAATAAATGATGGCAGTGTGCTTGATCTGCTTGCGTAGAGAATATGAATCTGCCTCCTTTCCCTTGTGTGGAGTAGTGATTGTTGAAGGAGAAATAAATCGCTGAGTGACAAAATGCCTGTGGTTTGAAAGGAGCTCTTGAATCCGATGTCCAGTAAAAACCCTGCCATGTAAACGCTCGTTGTATGACTGAGAGACACATGCATTTTGACTGTGCTGCTTTAGGTAACCTGCTGTTTTGTTCTTCTTTGGCTGCTGGGGGAGGGGGCGAGGGTACTGAAGCCTTTAAGTCTCTTCCAGATGCATCTTCACATCTCACAGACACCAGAAATAAAACCCTTCCAACCCAACAAACCATCAAGAAGCGAACATCACATTCCACCAGTTAGTGGTCGTATTTTCTGTGCAATGCTTTTGTGTGGGTCTCTCCTTTTTCAGTTTCCTCACAGTTTTGAGCAACAGCACACAACACCCCAATAAAGCCAGCTCTCCTCGAGGAGCCACAGAAGTCATGGCAGTAAGAAACAGTTGTGGTCAAAGCACTTTTGTATGGGATGAGTGGGAGGGGGCTGGTGACAAACCAGTGTCTCTAGATTGCTTTTCACAGACCAGTAGAAGGAACTGCCAGACACAAGAATTCACACTTCAATGGACAAAAGAACAGGTGAACCACATTTTCTCTCTTTTCACAGCAGGAATCATGAAGCCAGAATGTTAAGGGACTGGGAAGGTTTTAATGCATCTTCCCCTTCTGCCTCTGTAGGTTCAGCTTCATGCTGAAACACCAATCACAATGGGAGTAAATACTGTATGTGAATTCCATCCTTAACGGATGCTTGAGGCAATGGTGGGTTGAGACCCAATAAGCTTTAACAGCCGAAAGGGGGATCCCCACTGAAAGAGGAGCTTCATGCTCCGAAGCCTCTCCAGACACCTTGTAATGCATAGTTGGAGTGGAGGCAGAACTAATGGCAAAGAATTGAAGAACCTCCTGAGAAGACTGGCTTGCCCAGTGTCATTGGCAGGATGGGGCCCTTTGTGATAACTCTGCAATGGGCTGGCAGAATTGCCACCAGACTATAAGGTGTCTGTGGCCATGGTGGTGCTAACACTGAATCATGGCCATCTTTGAGTTTTTTAAGTCATTGACTTGACAAGTGCTTTAAGAGGTTTTGTGGGGGGTGGGATTATGCCGCAACCCGCTTTTCTGCTAAGAATCTTCCAGGAACAGCTATTGCGCACATAACTCAGCCAACACAAAGCGTTGACTCCATACTAAAGCTTGGATCCTCTCCAGTACTTCTGTTCTCAAGGTAATCCGTTAAAAATACCAATTTCAAAACCAGAGCTAGCAAACGGCTTGTTTGGCCAGTAACTTCTCACGCCAAAGCTAACATTGCAGTTGAAGGAAGGTAACTACTGAAACCCTTGACGTTATCCGAGAGCAAAATACTGATGATATGACAGGCACAGACTCTGAACAAGTAAACATCTAAATGCTGTATGATAAAAGCAGTAACCAGCGGTTGTACGTGTTGTGATTGTGGGACATAATGGGTGGGTACCATGTGCTTGGCTAGGCAGCAGATTTCCAGTTGTGATCCAGAGTGGCATTGGGGAGGGTGTTGCAACTCTTGTGCTAAGACTCTTTCAGGTCGCAATAAGGGAGTAGTCAGAAGCGGAAACTTTATGAAGCAGATTCCTTCAAATCTCCAAATCTCTCTTAAGGTTTTTCTTTTCCTGAGAGAACAATCTTGTGTTTTCTCAGGTTTTGCTTTTCACCTTGCTGCATTACAAAAAAAAAAAAAAGCAAAAGACACTGGTGGTCGGCACTCCTGGTTTCCAGGATGGGGTTCAAGTCCCTGCGGTGTCCTTGCTTGCTTCCAATGCAACTCTTATATGTTTCACCTCTTTCTGTCCTTTCTGTGCTTTTGTGATTTAGCAAAGATTATAGGATGTGATTTTACTGATAGATTTCCTATAAGGACATTGCATATGATTTAAACACAGTAAGAATTATATTAGGCAATTACTCCCATTTCAGCCAGTATGGTGTAGTGGTTAAGAGCGGTAGTCTCGTAATCTGGGGAACCGGGTTCGCTTCCCCGCTCCTCCACATGCAGCTGCTGGGTGACCTTGGGCCAGTCACACTTCTTTGAAGTCTCTCAGCCCCACTCACCTCACAGAGTGTTTGTTGTGGGGGAGGAAGGGAAAGGAGAATGTTAGCCGCTTTGAGACTCCTTAAAGGGAGTGAAAGGCGGGATATCAAATCCAAACTCCTCTTCTTCTTCTTCATTAACTCACTATTTGTGTGTGTGGTGCTGGCAAAATTGTCATGCTCACTTCTGTAGGTTTTTTGATAATAAGGTAGGGATTCTTCCTCTCTTTAGATCAAGGTGTATATGTATGGTAGGAGATGCTGCCTGCTTGAGCTGTGATTTTGCGGTCTGAAACATTTATGTATAGTAAACCAAGCTTTCTTTCTTAATGTGTCTCAAGAGTCTCCACCCCCATCATTCTGCCCGGATGCTGAGGTCCAGCACCGAGAGCCTTCTGGAGGTTCCCACCCTGCGAGAAGCAAACTTACAGGGAACCAGGCAGAGGTCCTTCTCAGTAGTGGTGCCTGCCCTGTGGAACACCCTCCCATCAGATGTCAAGGAAATAAACAACTATCTGACTTTTAGAAGACATCAGAAGGCAGTCCTGTTTAGGGAAGCTTTTAATATTTGATGAATTATTGTATTTTACTATTTTGCTGGAAGCCGCCCAGAGTGGCGGGGTATAAATAATAAATTGTTGTTGTTGTTAATTTGTTCGCCTCTAAACACTACTGGCTTGCCTGCCTGGCATTTAAAAGGTCTTTAGGATCGCCAGCCCAGAATAAAATAAAGTATCGGGTGTCAGGAGTTTTATTTAGGCAAGAATAGGGGCAAACACGGGACGCGGGTGGCGCTGTGAGTAAAACCTCAGCGCCTAGGACTTGCCGATCGTCAGGTCCACGGTTCGAATCCCCGTGGCGGGGTGCGCTCCCGTTGTTCGGTCCCAGCGCCTGCCAACCTAGCAGTTCGAAAGCACCCCCGGGTGCAAGTAGATAAATAGGGACCGCTTACTAGCGGGAAGGTAAACGGCGTTTCCATGTGCTGCGCTGGCTCGCCAGATGCAGCTTGTCACGCTGGCCACGTGACCCGGAAGTGTCTCCGGACAGCGCTGGCCCCCGGCCTCTTGAGTGAGATGGGCGCACAACCCCAGAGTCTGTCAAGACTGGCCCGTACGGGCAGGGGTACCTTTACCTTTACCTTAGGGGCAAACACATTCATGAACTTACACATATTATAACCCCAGCAAAAGACCCCAAACCCTCTGTTGGTGTGTGCATATGAATACACGTTGGAGACGTATGTGGGTTTAGACACATACTGTTACAGTTCCATTTCAAGTCCAGAGAAGAGCCATCCAATGGTGTTATTTTCCTTTATTGAGCTTTTATTAATGCCCTTGAATTTTCTGATGTATGGGAAGCCAGGCTATAAAGTATATAAACATTAAAAACGTGGAGAGGATCAAGATGATGATGGATAGGAAAGAGAAAACAAATTCAAGTGCCAGCTTGGCCAATGGACAGAGATAATGGAATCCGAACGAAAAATCTCAGACGTGATTGAACATGAAACATTTAATGCTTTTATACATCCCTCATAAGATTTTCCAAGAGGGTACATAAGGAATGGAACTTTTGGTGCTTGTGAAGAAAAAGATGTACTCATTCTCTCTCTAGTTGAGTTTTCCCTGTTGCATTGATAACACAAAATAAATATAGCAAGATTTTCTCTCCCTATATACCCACTAACTCACCAAAAACACTTTGTTCTGTCAGAATCAAACCATGGCCATACTCATGCTTTTGGAAAGGTCCAGTGATGAAGTATTAAAACCTTTTGAAGAAGAATAATTAAAATCCTACAGGAGCAACATCTAATTCTGATTTTACATGGCAAGCCAAAATATATTAACTGTAAAAACTACTGATTTTTCACTGGATAAAAATATAATAAACTAGCTAACTAGTCTATATAAAAGTGTCTTTTGAAAGCATCTACAAAAGATAAAGACTAAGTAGAAATTGAGAAAGGCAGAAAGAGGTTTTTTTTAAAAAAAATTATCAAAATACTCTGTGCAGTTTATAAATATGCACAATTTTGAGCATACAACCTGGGGCAGCATTTGCGATGGAGGTAAACAAATTGCTCAGTAATGGCCCATAGCTTAAGATGCATTGTAAAAGTTAACAATTGCAGCCTTGTACCTATTTATGCAGCAAAAGGCACTTAGCTAGGTGATTTCTGATATTTTTCTTTGCTGTGAAATATAACCAAGAAAATAGGTTTCATTTGTCTGCTTCTTGACCCCCTGGTGTTAAGGAGGATGACTGCAAAGAGGAACTTTACAAACAGCTTCCTCTTTGAAACCCTAACCAAATCTGAGCACACCTGCAACACATATGCCAGTGACTCTGGCCTTGGATTCCAAACCTATCCTAGGTGCTGTGAATGACTAACATGCCTCTTAAATAAAATCCAAAATGTCTGTCAAACACCCATTTGGTTCAAGGGTGGGGGACATGTTGGAGAGGGGCCTCCGGTTGTTTCTGGACTGCAACTCCCATCATCCCTGACTCCTGGCCATGCTGTCTGCCGGGGCTGATGGGAGTTTGGAGTCCAACAGCATCAGGATTCCCATCCCTGATTTAGTGTTTGAAATGAAACCTTCACTTTTAAAACAAAATTACATTTTATATGTAGATTACAAAACTGAGGGGCGTCAACAGAGGGCCATCGAACAGATGCAACCATTTCTTTTCAACACCAGTTTTTAAGGAATGCGTCATTTTCAGAGTCAGTTTCCTCTCAAATGCTCCTGGGTGGTAAACGCTGCTTGTACATCCCTGCAATAGCTTTGGCTGTGCTGTAGATCATCTGTCGACGGGACATGCCGGTGAATGCAGAGTGCCAATCCGTTCTGTTGACGTGCAGTAATTGCTTCTCTATCACTTCCCCCACTGTCACCAACAAACCTGACCATCTTAGGTTATAATCCTGAGGAGTTAGACTTTGAGCCTGTGAAATAATTTAAATTGGGAGTGAGTACAGGGGAAAATGAGAAGCACCCAAGCAAGTTCAACCTCCAGAGCTATATCACCATAGTTCAAAGTTCATTCAAAAGCATAAATAATACTGCTGTTAGCATTTGACTTAACAAGTGCAACAAAGTTTTATAGCAGCTATAAGTTCTATAGAAATTCTATAGAATTTAAAGTGCTGCTAGTGAAATTTGTTGTGAAAAGAACCTCTGGTTTAACAGGCTAAGGGACAACAGGAACACTTATTTTCTCCTTTTCAGGAATAAATCGGCCAAACTTTCACTCAGTTGCAGCAGATTATAGGCATTTTTTCACAGCACCATCAGTGCCCATGACTAGGTTCTCTGCGATGAGGTTGAAAGAGCTGGGTACGTTTAGCATGGAGCAGAGATGGCTAGAAGGCTCTCACATTTGCTTTCTGTTGCCCCAGAGGGTGGAAGTGGAACCAATGGGCCCAAAGGGGAATCTCACTAAACATGAGCCTACGATAGCTTGGTTGGTAGAGAATGAGACTCTTAATCTGAGCTGCGAGTTTGAGCCCCCCATTGGGCAAAAAGATTTCTGCATTGCAGGGGGCTGGACTAGATGGTCCTTGGGGTCCCTTCCAACTCTACAATTCTGTGATTCTGAGCCTCCTGGCAGTGCAGGATGTTCAAAGGTGCCTCAGAATGAATGAGGCTGACTCGCTGTGGTTTTTAAGCCCTCCAGCCTACAGACCATCTTAAGGAACATCCCCCAATGCTTACTGCCAGCTCACTCACAAATGTTCAATATATTAAGAGGTATAGATATCAATCAATCAAATGTAATCCACATTATTTTTTAAAATATATGCAATGAAAGAGACACTAAAGGTAATAGAATTTAATGGCAATCATTTTTAGAAGTGTGTCAAAGTGCAAGTAGATAAATAGGTAGATAAATACCTCCGGCGGGAAGGTAAACGGCGTTTCCGTGCGCTGCTCTGGTTTGTCAGAAGCAGCTTTGTCCTGCTGGCCACATGACCCGGAAGCTGTACGCCGGCTCCCTCGGCCACTAAAGCGAGATGAGCGCCGCAACCCCAGAGTCATCCGCAACTGGACCTAACAGTCAGGGGTCCCTTTACCTTTACCCTTTTCTACTCCTAGAGTGATCTTCTGGGGTTCTTGGCTACCATCCCTTAGAAAAGGCTTTACCAACCTGCTGCGTTGGAAAAGGATGCAGCCCCTTAGAGATTAAAGCTTACCTGTTGTACATATTCCAAAGGCACTGGCGTTGCTTGTGTAAATGTTTCGAGGTGAATGCCATGGATGGGATCCTCGACAATTAGGCAGCCAATATCAAACCACCTGTTACAGTGACAAAAGGTTTATTATCAAATCATATTAAATACGAATTCCGCGTATTAACTGTCTAGAGAGCTTAGTAGTTTTGAAAGGCAGGCAGCCAAGGCACCTCCACTAACACTTTCCCTTTGGAAACAATTTTTAGTTTTCCCAGACAAAAGCTAACAATCAAGGAAGAACTTTGTTCCAGAATTTATAGTCATGTTCCAAACTCTAAGGAAGTTAATTACAAAATGTCAGAGGTCTGTTCCGGCAAGGTTTTGCTTGCTAAACATTGCAGGATCTGGCCATGCTTGAAAGTGAATTATTTAATTATGGGTTATGCAAACTATGCCCAGTTTTAAGCACTAGGGACAAGAGGGTGAATTATACCAAGCAACTGCAACAGGCAGACAACTCTTATTTCAGCTCCTGTTTAGAGTATCAACAAATCCTGTGGATATGATACTAACTGACTTTTATCTTGAGTAACATGTTAAATGGCCTTACTTGTCAGGAAGCAATTCCGCAATGAAATTTTCCACAGACACGGCAGGCTGCTTCTCATGAATGACTCCTGTCCTGCGCAAGCTGTCAATCCTTTCTTGAGCTCCCTAAAGGACAAGGAAAAGAAATAATACAGTCAATACAGCTCTCATTCAGCACTTACTGCTTGCGATGAACCTTAGCCAAAAGCAAAATCAAGGATCTGAAGTAAACCAACTCCAAATATTCAGGTTTACAGAAGGGAAATGGGACACTCAAATGCAATCTCAGTGTGTCTTTGGTTCCTTAGTGACCAAGTCCTTATTTTGTGCTTTAATAAAAATGGATTATGCTTTGTTTCATTTTTGTAGATTATAAAATGTAGTCGTGTGAAAAAGAAAACATTGCCAAAGAGTTATTAGGTTCTACATTGTTGTGTATGAAACACGTGAAGACACATTTTAAATGATTTTTTAAAATATCACAAAAGTGATACAAATCTCCAGGAAACGACGGCAACTCGCCTTCAATCCAGCTGCGTAGCCAACTGGCTGTGGTGCAATGTTGGACTGCCCAGCTTCTCCTGTAACTGTGGCCATTCCAAACACTTCCTGAAAAGCTTCTCTTACAGCAGCAACCTTGACTTCTTTAGTAGAAGTGACTACAATGTCCAGTTCTCCCCCAGATTCTATAACAAAAAAACATTAAAACATAATCCTATACAGGCAGATACATTTAGACCATGGGGTGGGGTGGGAGAGAACTTGTGCTTGCCAGTCAGGATTCCTCCCTTTTCTTGGCAAAGCAATTATCTGGAGATGGACCAGGGTGCATATTTATTGTCATCTTTCACACACACGTCTCAAGGCAACACACTATATATATTTAAAATGGCACAGAAAACAGCAGACAGCAGCAACTACCTTTAAAAATCTATACATTGCAGACACTCATGGCAGACACACACACACACACACACCAGTCTAGGTGTTGACCGAACAAAAATGTCTTCAGTTCTTTCCTGGAAGGTGCAGATAGCAGGTACATATCAGGATAGCTGCAACCATGCTAAAAGCCCTGCATGATGCTCTGCTATGGCTTAGTGAGATGTGAATGAGTGGCTTCCATTTGAGGTTACCCACTCCCAGTGTGGTGTAGTGGTTAAGAGCGGTAGTCTCGTAACCTGGTGAACCGGGTTCGCTTCCCCGCTCCTCCACATGCAGTTGCTGGGTGACCTTGGGCTAGTCACACTTCTCTGAAGTCTCTCAGCCCCACTCACCTCACAGAGTGTTTGTTGTGGGGGAGGAAGGGAAAGGAGAATGTTAGCCGCTTTGAGACTCCTGAAGGGTAGTGATAAAGCGGGATATCAAATCCAAACTCTTCTTCTTCTCTTCTTCCCCCATCTCCTGCATGGCCAAGAGTCTGGAAGCTTCCACAATGCTGTTTGTCAGATCATCTAGACCAATTGTTAATCCTCATTATGGTTACCTTCAAACAAACCAACTTCAAACCATGGCTTCAGGAAGCCAACTTGTTTAAACTAACCATAGTTAAGACTGATGACTGTTCTAGGTCTGAATGACATGCCAAGCTGTGGTTAACTGAAAGTGGAAGCAAAATATTCCCCCCCCCCTTCTTCTCCTGACCATGTGTGAGAAAGATGGGTGAGTGGGGGAGCACATAAGGCTGGGAGGAGGCCAGCTAGACTCACTTCTCACAAAACCAAATGCAGCCATTGGCTGCTACAACCACTTGTCCCGCCACTAGATACCCAATACTATCAAATTAGCGGCTGTTGTAACTTCCTTTATGAGTTCACTCTTCGAAACGCACCAGTAGCAACATCAGTGAAGCTTGTATTGCTATGAAGATGCACTTGACAAATCTGCAAAATGCCTCCACTGGCTGTGTGGCCTGATGTTTGCAGGAGGAGTCGAGATTGTGATCCATCAATTAGAAACAGAAAGAGACAATGTCTCATCAATCAACAACCCCAAAAGAGAGGCTTTGCTGCAGCCTAGGTTTGTGAGGGCCCAGAGTAGCCTGAGTTGCATGCTGCACCCCCCCCCAAGGCCCACAGGCTTTCTTCACTTACTGATATAGGGAGCCATGCCAGGATCCAGAGTCGTGATCATCGTCTCCATTGAGTGCTTGGTTTTATCCAGCACGGACTTCACCACAGGATTCCCCGCCACACCCTGCAGGGAAAAGGCACAACTCATTCAGCTCCTTTTGCTCTCAAGGCTATGCCTGATTCAGCCATTTGCTTCTTGCAGATGTTGTATTTCAGACCCTCCAAGTGTCCATAATTTCCAGGGACAGTCCCAGATTTACAGAAGCTGTCCCAGTTTCTGATTTGATCCAGAAATGTCCTGCTTTTCCTTAGGACACCCTAAGGAGAAATGTTAAGAGGGGACATCTCTATTTTCATCAGAGAAATGTTGGAGGGTGTGGCATTTTTTACTTTGAGGGTGGCCCTGGGATTGCTACTGAGGTGAAGAGCGGCTTGTCAATATCTTATACAAGCAAATATATTACACCAGCTCAGGGAATGCAAAATACAAGTAGAGAGATTGAGGGCACGCATGCTGGCCCCACTCTCAATATCTCTGTGTGCCCCGACCCCATGTGCTCAAACTCAGAACAGTCTAAAAACTACAGTGGTACCTTGGTTTGCATATGTCTTGGTTTGCATACATTTTGGATTACAAACACAGCAAATCTGGAAGCACGTTTCCCGGTTTGCAAGCTTTTTTTGGATTACAACCCTTTTTTTTTTGGGATTACAAACAAATTTTTTGGGGAGGCCCCATTGGCGAAAGTGCGCCTGATAAAAGGATCTGGAGAACTCAAAAACCTGCCTCACTTCTGTAATATCTGCTTGGTCACAATGAAACTACTGACTGTGTGGTTTGGAGGCTTTTCTTATGGACCAGCAGCACAGCTACCTTTGCTTTTCAGCCTTACTTTGATAAAGCCCCATAGTCCTCCTCCAGCAGATGCGTCACTCTGCACAACAGCTCCCCGGGGGTCTTCGTGTTGCTCTGGGAAAGTAATTGAAGAGCCTGCTCCAAAGCCAGGTGCCAGTGGGGGTGGCCCACAGGGCTGCTGTGATGCCGGGCCGGTGAAGACACCTGAAAACCAATAGCAGGAAACGTTTTGCATAACCCACTATGGTTCACAACTGCTGTAACCTGCCTTGTCTTATTCAACAATTAAAATAATACTGCACATCTTCAGTTTTCCAGAAAAAAACCTGTTTATGTTGAAAGACTTTTACCAGTTTAAAGACACAATTTGAGTTTGGAGGTAACTGTACAATGGAAGAGACTGCCACATTCTGACCACGTAAAACTAGTGGCGCTTTCAACCCTCATACAGGCCTGTCTCCAACCTCCATCTTGGCAAGCAGGAGGCATTATCACAGTTCAATAACACCTTCCTTTTTTATTATAATATTTATTAAGTTTTCCAATTTAATAATCCAATAAAAACCACATTAAAACATTCCAAATTACAATACAATAAAAAAAGCCAAATATAAATACCGAATTTTATATCTTTGGGTGACTTCCCATGCTGTGAATTTCACGAAATGCTGATCATCTAATATCACACTGCTTTTCTTAATTAATCAACAAGCCATTCCAATGTTATCAATAACACCTTCCAGCCTGGCTAAAGTACCTGAGGAGAACTGGTGTGAGAGGAGGGAGGGGGAAATGTGGGCTGGGGAATGTCCTAAGGGTTGTATATATGCCACAGCCTAGAAGTCAACCTCACAGAAGTCAAATACAGTGTTTGTGAGTTTAAAAAGTGGCTGAAAACAGCTTGGGACCAGGTTAGATCTGTAAGACCAGGTAAGACACTGGTCTTACAGATGGGGCCATTCTGACCATACCGTGACCTACATAGCTCCATCTGATGTGCGTGTGGAGAGGGAGTGTTCTCTGTTGTGGAGCCTGTAATGTGGAACACTCTCCCCAATGAGAAGAGGGGAGCAACAACTGTTGGGTGTTTTCACAGTCAACTGAAGACACAGGCTTGCTTTGACCCTCACTACTGGTCTCTGGAGGCGGGAGGCAGTGGAAGACAGAAGTGCCTGGCGTGCTTTGGTCCATGGGGTCACGAAGAGTCGGACACGACTAAACAACAACTAGTCTCTGGTGTTTTATTGTGTTTTAAATATTCTGTTGGGAGCTGCCCAGAGTGGCTGGGAAACTCACCAGATGGGAAGGGTATAATAATAATTATATATTATATATTATATAATAATATAAAATCAGTGATGATTTTACTGATGTTATTGACAATTCTTTTTCTTGGACATTGTTATGTTTTATCACTATGTGAATCGCTTTGGTTTTCCATAATTGAAAAGCAGTGTAGAGAACATTTAATAAGTAGCATTTAAAAATAAAAGGGAGGAGGGAAGGCAGCCCACGTGAGCATGGCCTACATAGATATGCATTTCCTGGTCAAGGTCCATGCAAGGTAGGGCAAGGATGCAGGAGCCAGTCCCAAGCCATTTGGAACCAGCCAGCATTTCCTGGGAGAGAATTAGTACTGGTTTCCTTGGTAAAACAACAAGCAATATAGATAAACTCTTGTTTTAAAAAGCCAAGTGAAAATGCTATGATTACCGGTAACTGAAGGTGCAGAAAACGAGGGCATCAGGGGCGTCTGTGGTGCTCGTCCCGCATGGCCTTTGGTGATGTCGTGGGTCGATGCCATAGAAAACCCTGATATGGGAGGACCAGTGGGAGGGGCGGAAAGCACAGGGCCAGGAGTTGAACTCAGGGGTGGAGGGGATGAGAACTGGGGACGGGGGCTAGTGAAAGGGGACGAGGCGACTGGCGGTGTCATCATGGGTGGCCTCGAGGTCCCAAGGGAGGCACCCGCTGAAAGGGCCATGGGAGGCACGAAAGGCAAAGGCACCGGGGATGTCGTCATGGATGGAAGAGAGGAGCCTGCAGATGGCAAAGGCGAAGAAAATGGTGCTTGGGAAGGAGGAAAAGAGGAGGGAGGAGGGAGGGAAGGAGTTAAGGCTGAGGGCGAGAGAGAGGAAAAAGAGAAGGCAAGTTTTAGTAGAGGGGCTTTTTTCAACTTTTAGAATTACATAAACAAAAGAGCTGCAGCAGAATAATAGAACTAAAACATCTTATATTTGTAGCAGATTAGCAAATAACTTATAGTAAGGAAAGAGCCCAACAGCTAAGAAGTCAAAGATTAACCATGTGACACAATGCATAGCCAGCTCTTCCTTTGCAAGCAAAGGTTTATTACTGAGCTGCAAATATTAAGCATTTTCAACCAACGAAGTTATAATTTAGAGATCAAACGGCATATGTTTTAAAATGCATTTGAAGCAGGTCATTGGATTGAAATGTTAACATGAATTTAAGTGACACTTTAAGTTCAAATGAAAACCCTCCCCAATTAATTAGTGTGGTTGGCAGCAAGCAAAGGCTCCAGACCCTTGAAGTTAGCACAGCTCCTCCTTTCCTTCTGAAATACCTTTTCTAAGCTCAATCCACTTTTTGAACTAAACTACCACTCTGACTTTGATCTGCCAAGACATGGCACGTAAGATAGCACTCGGCTGAGAGCAGCATCTCATACGTGCACTTTCCTGAATGCAGATGTATCCTGAATTCGGCTTTCTGGCCATGGGTGGGTGTGTACCAGTGGTTCCGTTCCTGTCAATGGTGTATGCTGGGTTCATATGCACATGTGGGCATGCATGTGGGTTCTGACATACACCTCATAACGCAAGGTGCTTTGATGTCCCAAGATCGGCCCATAAACCAGCTATTCCCCCCGTATCCTAAAATGAATGTCTGATACCCCAGCACAATTTCATAAGGAAGAAATGTACCGTATTTTTCGCCCTATAGGACGCACTTTTCCCCTCCAAAAATGAAGGGGAAATGTGTGTGCGTCCTATGGGGCGAATGCAGGCTTTCGCTGAAGCCTGGAGAGCGAGAGGGGTCGGTGCGCACCAGGCTTTAGGAAGCTATCCGCAAGCCTTGGGAGCCCGCGGGAGTTCCCGCCGGGCTCCCCCGGCTTGCGCAGAACTGCCTGCACCCCGGAGCCTGGGCACACTGAGCAGTCGTGCCCGGGCTTCGGGTAGCTCTGCGCAAGCCGCGGGAGCCCTCCCCCGGCTTGCGCAGAGCAGCCCGTTCCGGGGGCTGGGGAAGCTCGGGCTTCCCCCGCCCCAGCCTCACGCCTGGGGGGGGAAATAAATTTTTTTCCCTTTATTTCCCCCCAAAAAAACTAGGTGCGCCTTATGGGCCGGTGTGCCCTATGGGGCGAAAAATATGATAATTCTTAGCATCTGCGCAAACCATTTGTGTCAGCTAAGGAGCTGTTGGGAGGGGCAAATAATAAAGTATAAAGCTGTCTGCCACCTACACATATATTTATATAGTCACAGCTTTCTTGACTTCTTGTTGTATTCCTCCCTGGGACCAGCTAGTGAAAGGTGAGTTAGAAATAACTAGAAATAAGCAACAACTTAAATACTTTAAAAATAGTGTGAAAAAGTTTATTGGGCTAGGTCCAGATTTCTCCTGAGCAGAGTTCCCCTCATGGGATGCTCACCTGGAAGTGGGAGGACAGATTACTTCTGCCAGTCTCTTCTTCCCTTGCAGCCCCCTAAAATGCTGCTCTGAATATTTGCAAGACGCTCCAGAAAAGACTGAAAGGCAGGACTGCAAAAGGGGCTAGCAAAAAAACCCTCCACCCCCACGTCCAGCAGGATCCGAGTCCCTTCCAGAAGAGGAGCCCTTCTTTCAGAACTACTAAATTTAAAAGGGAAAAAAAACCATGTGAACAAACAAGACTAGTCACCGATGAAACACTTATACCTAATGAGACTGGGGCAGTGGTGGTGGGTGCAGGCCCCGCCCCCGCTGTGCTCAGTGGGGGCGTTCCAGGTGGAGTCGTCTCTATCCCGCTCTCTTCCATCATTTTCCTTCAGCAACACAGAGCTTGAAAGAAAGAGAAAATGGATTGAAATGAAACAAACAGCTGCTGCATCGTGTACATCTAGTACTGGCTGCTTAAAACTGCCAATTTACAGGACCAGCAATAGGCCAAACCTCTGTCAGTACTTAAAATATGTCAGTACTCCAAGTCTGACTCAGAGGTGTCTGAACTTCCAGTGTGTTCAGACATACAGAAGAACAACAGCTGGTGCAATTTTTCCAACCTGGCGCCTTTAAATTAGGATTTAAAGTGTGGGTGCATGGACAACAATGAAAGTTATAATACACATAGCTTCTCAGCAAAATTTTGAAGAGGTTATTCTGAAGATAAGTTTGTGCGACCCTCAAGCCAAGGAGATAAGTAATTATACAACCTTTAGAAGACATCTGAAGGCAGTCCCGTATAGGGATGTTGTTTAATGTTTTATTATGTTTTTATGTATGGAAGCCGCCCAGAGTGACTGGGACAACCCAGTCAGAGGGGTAGACCATTATTATTATTATTATTATTATTATTATTATTATTATTATTATTATTATTATTTAAAGGTAAAGGGACCCCTGACCATTAGGTCCAGTCATGGCCGACTCTGGGTTTGCGGCGCTCATCTCGATTTATTGGCCGAGGGAGCCGGCGTACAGCTTCCGGGTCATGTGGTCAGCATGACTAAGCCGCTTCTGGCGAACCAGAGCAGCGCATGGAAACGCCGTTTACCTTCCCACCAGAGTGCTACCTATTTATCTACTTGCACTTTGACGTGCTTTTGAACTGCTAGGTTGGCAGGAGCCGGACCGAGCAATGGGAGCTCACCCCATAGCGAGGATTCGAACCGCCGACCTTCTGATCGGCTCTGTGGTTATTATTATTATTATTTAACATGTCCCTATTTTCATCAGAGAAATGTTGGAGGGTATGGTGTCTGGGGGAAGGAGAGAGGAATATTTAGTCCAGGCATCCTTCATCAGCCTAGCCCACCTCACAGAGCTGTTGTGATAACCTGGGGCAAAATTCACCTTCTGTTAGCCTAATTTACTTCACAGGGCTGTTGTGAGGATGGAATTGGGAGGATGGGGTGCCCACCCTGAGCACCCAACCACCCATTCGGGTCAGGTATGAATTCTGGGCCTTCTACTGTCTAACAACCAACCACCACTGCTGGCGGGGGGGGGGGGGGAGCCAGCAAGGAAGTGAGAAGCAATCTCCCCCACCCTTCCCACCTTGGCTCCCTTTGTACAAGGGCGGGGAAGTGGAGGCTCCAGGCATTGAGACTACAACTCCCATCATCCTCATCGTCTGTGATAACTGTCCAAGCTGGAGCCGATGGGAGTTGCAATTCAACAGCAGGGTCCGTCTGTCCCCCACCCCACCACCCTTGGTCCTTTGTATACTGCTGAAGGAGGCCAGGGGGGGGGTCAAGGTCGCGTTTAAAGAACTACACTTCCCGCCATGCACCGGGAGCCGCTGGCCTTGCGCACGCGCGCACCGGCATCTGTTCTGCCACGTCTTTGCGCCCCGCTCACTAACTGAGAAGCTCTTCTTCTCCGTTCTACGACCCTCCTTCTCCTCCCTCGTCCCGTCACCCTTGCTCGCGTGGCCGTTACAGACAACGGCCGCAGCAATCGTATCACTAATAGTAGTAGTAATAAAAACAAAAACAAAACCCACCTAAGAGTAAAAGCACCTCAGTCCCTCACGCGTACGCTTCCGCCCGCCAGCCCCTTTTTCCTCGCCTCACTGAAGCGGTGGCGGGTAGGGAGGAAAGGGGTCGCCGCCGCGGCCTCCCACAGCCCGCCCGAGGGGGAAGCTCTTCTTCGCTCTCCCGGCTCCGGGGACTCAAAATGGCGGGAGGCGGGACCGGGGAGGCGGCGGCTTCAGCGGCAGCCGCAACAGCAACCACCTCCTCTCTCCTCCTCCTCTTCCTCCTGGGGACCTGCCACGTTCGCTGCGGCAGCGGGGAGGAGCAGCCGCGGGGCGGGAAAGGCTCGCGCCGCCTCCGCTTCTCTCCGCCACGGCGAACCTCGCTGGAGGCTTGGTTGCCTTCAGCGCACCTGCTGGTTTCACGGTTTTTTTTTAATTAGTTGGTATTGTTATTATTATTATTATTAGCCAGTTTTCCAAATTCAGTTATCTCCTTTAATAATTCTAATATACCAAATCTATAGGTTTTTCCAGGGTTAAGACAAAAGCTTTTGTTTTATAATTTCGTTTGCCCACTTTTCTTCCCCTATTTTTGTCATTTAGCGGTTTAGGGGGGAATGTCATGGGACAGAGACCCAAACTTTGTACCCTGCTCAGTTATGAGAAATATTAAAATCATTGCTTTTGAGTTTGCGGAAGGGGGGGGGGGGAGTAAGCCTTATGGTAAGATAGTTTTTAATTACTGGCCTAGCCAGTCTTGCTTAAAGGTAAAGGGTAAAGGGACCCCTGACCATTAGGTCCAGTCGTGGCCGACTGGGGTTGCAGCGCTCATCTCGCTTTATTGGCCGAGGGAACCGGCGTACAGCTTCCAGGTCATGTGGCCAGCATGACTAAACGAGAGCAGCGCACGGAAACTCCGTTTACCTTCCTGCCGGAGCAGTACCTATTTATCTACTTGCACTTTGATGTGCTTTCAAACTGCTAGGTGGGCAGGAGCTGGGACCGAGCAACGTGAGCTCACCCTGTCGCAGGGATTCGAACCGCCGACCTTCTGATCAGCAAGCCCTAGGCTCTGTGGTTTAACCCACAGCACCACCCGTGTCCCTAGCCAGTCATGCTTAGGGTTGCCCTATTTCAAAAAGTAAAATATTCCTAGTGTGCACAAATTTGGGAAGCCTAACCCCAAAATAGTGCTTTTAAGCTTTTGGAGCTGTTTCCCCTGTTTTTTTCCATCGCGTTGCCATACATCTGGGTTTTCCCCAGACTTTTGATTTCCGCCCGGACACTGTTTCCAACTGCCGATTGCTGGCTATGTCCTGGAAATTCCAGACGTATGGCAACCCTAGACTTGCCTGCAGAATACAGAAGGGTGTTTCTGGCAGATGGCATAAAATCCAGTTTAAAAAGAACACTACACTAAAATGTGGACTAGAATAAATAGCACTGTATGCAGTTAACCTGAGACTAAGGCCCATTTAACTCAGTGAACTTGTTTTTAGTTGGTATGTGTAGGATAGCACTATTAAAATCCTTCAAAAGGCCGGCAAAGAGGCTTTAGTGCTGCCTTCTAAATGGGCTTTGAAGCCCCATTTGTTTTGAGTTTGTTTTACTCAACTACAGTGTAATAAAGCTTCTTCCAGCTTGGTGCCCTCCAGATCTTTTGGACTACAGCTTGCATCAACATAGCATGCTGGTTGGGGCAGGAGAAAATTGTAGTCCAAATATCTGAAGCACACCAGGTTGGGAAAGGCTGGTATATTCATTCACAAGCTTCACCCAAAAAGTACTAGGAATTGTAGTTTCTTAAGGGTGCTGGGAATTGTAGCTCTGTGAGCAGCAAATGAAAGCTCCTAGGACACTTTGAAGGAAGTTGTGTGCTTTAAATGTACAGTGTGCACACAGCTGCTGTGGTAAGTTCCACTGACTGAGTTCAGTGGGGCTTAACCCCTGGTAACTGAGTAATGGGATCACACTGTATTTTTTTATTTAAGATATTTAATGTATGCTGTTCAATAATGCAAGTTCTGTTGCCGTTTTACAATAAGTGTTTAAAAAACAAGCATTTGCATTGTTCTGCATTATTGAGAGCATAAACATGAAATCTAAAAAAATCCAAGAATAAAATGAGCAACAGGAGATAACAGGAAGAGCCATGGCAACACCAAAACAGTTTCCAGAGCTGCAAGACTCCCCCAAAATTGATATACAGTGGTACCTTGGTTCTTGAACGTAATCTCTGTTCCGGAAGACTTCGAGTTCTGAAATGTTTGAAAACCGAGGCGCAAAGGGCTGTCAGCAAATTTAAATGAGAAAATGGAAAAACACGCAGCGGAAGCCATTCGACTTTTGAGGCGCATTCGAAAATGGAAGCATTTACTTCCGGGTTTTCAGCGTTCGGGTTCCAAAACATTCATCGACGGAGACGTTCAGAAACCAAGGTACCGCTGTATTTTATGTAAATCTGGGGGAGAGGGAGCCAAAAATTCTGCAACAGAGGCACCAGCAGAGCCTTCTCTGGAGATCTGTGTTTAACTTCTTAACCTAACTCACAGGGTTGTTGGGATTAAATGAGGGGGAGAACCATATAAGCCACTTAGAGCTCCACAGAGAAAGTGGGATATAAGTTCAATAAAATAATCACAATCATGTTAGATTGGAGCCCTTGAAGCTGCTCGAGTAAATAAATAAAAAAGACTGACCCCTCTGGACAGCATGGGGGGGGGCAGGAATTGGGGCATGAAGTAAGTACAGGCCAGCATGCAAGGTAGCTGGCTGTTCATGCAAGCATTTCCAGCATAATCTTGCTTATTCACATGTGCTCTCTGGGATGCTGCTGACTTGCCTGCGCTGTTCTACTGAGTGTTGTAGCTGTGGGGACTGGCCCAAATATGGTCAGTGGATGGGATGGCTGGTTGCCAGCAGGACTGCAGATACGGACTCCTTACTCAGATGCTAAGCATGCATGCAGACAGCTGGTATCCAATAACCCAAGCAGGATCCCAGAATGTTGGAAGCAATTGATGCCAGTTAATTGGTTTAGTTTTATTACTCACTTGCTTCATGGGGTCCGAATGACTTATTTTTCAAAAAACCAAAAAGTTAGGCACCAGGTGAAAATGTTTCTCTTCCACCAGGCCTTGGGCTGATCAGCATTCTATGGCCTTCTAAATATGGCTTTGAGAACAGGGTTATTGGTTTGTTTTGCTTCCATTTTTGTTTTAGTATGCATTTTGTGTTTTCATGTTATATTTTTATGTTGTGAACCACCCAGTGATCTTCAGATGAATGACAGTTAACAAATTAAAGAAAAAAGAAAAAATCAAAGAAAAAATGTATTACTATAAAAACCACACACAAAAACCCACAGAATGTGCTTGCACTGCCTGAATATTTTTCAGATGCCCTAAATGTTTCCCACCTCAGAAAAAGACATTTATTGAACTGAGCCAATACACACATTTAGGACATTATAAATTCTATTTTTGTAGGTTATGACTAAAATGTTGTGATGTTCTTTGGTGGTTATATGGTTATGTTGACCTAAGCATTAATAAACACATTTAAAATATAAAAGATTTATGGGATAGATTTAACTTGGTTTAGGACTACTCACAAGCAATAGATAGGGCATGGTTGGCAAACAGCCTATAAAAGGTGTGGGTAGGGGCCAACAGTTGCCCCACCCTCCTCACACCTCACATCTGGTGGGCCTAAATCAGTGCTTCCCAATCTTTTCCCTCACAGACTGCTTGAAAATTGCTGGGGGTCTTGGCCAACCATGTAAATATTTGCTTGCCTGTTGCAGTTGTGGTGTGCCAGATCTGCATGGTTTTAAACTATTTCCATTGTCTCTTTTTATTTCTTCTAAATCTTATTTTATTGCATTACTGTTCAAATGCCATAGAAGCCAAACTCTTACTACAACAAAATGAAATAAAAGCTATTTTAAAATTAATGCATTTACTGCGATGGATGTGCTCTCCCCTCCCTCCCCCACATCTTCAATCTCACAACTTCAAACATGCCACAGAGCACCTGAATGAGCTAGAGTTCAGGAACCCATGGCCTAAAAGGGTTTATGCTACTTAGTCTCCTTCACATTTTCTGTACTTAGTTGATATAGTTGATTATAGGTTTGATCTCAAGACTTTTTGGTCTGGCTGTTGGACTCTTCCCAGCAAAGGAAGGTAGGGAGGTTTGGGATGGTGATGTGGGAAGAACAATTAGCATTTTTGTTGGTAATGTGTGAATACTCTACCCCACTCCAAAACATGAAATCTAAACAGTACAATTTCTAGAGGGAACCATGCTGGCCAAGGCTCTTCTAAATCATGGGGATATGGAGCTGGAACTATTCGGAGTCCCAAACAGAACATAGGACTGAACAGAACACATGAATCAATTAATTAAAAGGAAAATTTGTTGTATAACACTAGGTGATGCATTTCATCACAAAAATGACAAGACGATTTTAAGAATTTATTTCAATTTTATTTCAAAGCGGTAACACACATTATGTCACAGGCACGTACACACAAGGCACATTTCAAATGTGTGGTGAAAACTAAAGGACAGCCTGAAGCAGATACTTGGACACCAACCCCCAATTTTCATCTGGCCCACTGTAACCAAAGCAACCAAAGCCACTAAATTTTCCTCCCACACCAAACAATGCAAAGACATTAACAGGTCTGCATAGCACAGTTGGTTAGAGCATAGTACTAATAAAGATAAGGTTGGAAGTTTGATCCCTGTATGGGACAGCTGCATATTCCTGCATGGGGGGTGCGAGTTGGACTAGATGATCCTCAGGGTCGCTTCCAGCTCTAGCATTCATTTTGTCTGCTGTAAGGCCACTCATTTGTCATTTGCAGCTGGAACACCCATGCTGGCCTGTTAGGATAAATGAGTTAGCAGTTACTCTGGAAGCCTATGTTCATGGCTATTCCTCAATAACCTTATGCCACCTTATCCTCTCTGCAAGCTAAACATCCCCAACTCCCATAAGGTTTGGTTTCAAGATCATCTTGGTCACCCTTCTCTGCACATGTTCCAGCTTGCCAATATTGATCTTAAACTGTGGTATCCAGAACTGGACAAAAGACTCCAGGTAGGGTCTGACTAAGGTAGAATAGAATCCCTTGATCTAGACACGTTTGTTGATGCAGTCAAGAACTGCATTAGCTTTTTGTTGCTACATCACACTGTTGACTCATGTTAAGCACGTGGTCTATTAAGACACAGATCCTTTTCATGTGTACTCCCTGTCAAGCCAGTTGTATTCCAGCCTAATTATAGAACCCTAAAATTTTGTAATTACTGAAATTATTTCAGTTGA